GCAGACAACTCTGTTCTGGGTGTCAGGCTGTCCCATTTATACCTGCCACCCTTGGAAGCGGGTTCTGCATTTGCCTCTGTCCCACCAGTGAGGGTGCCCCAGAGAGAGAAGTATCAGAGGGGCAGCCTTGTTAATCTGAATCTGCAAGAACAATGAGAAGTCCTGTGGCACCTTATAGACTAAGGGTATGTCTACACTACCCCCACAACTCTGTTCTGGGTGTCAGGCTGTCCCATTTATACCTGCCACCCTTGGAAGCGGGTTCTGCATTTGCCTCTGTCCCACCAGTGAGGGTGCCCCAGAGAGAGAAGTATCAGAGGGGCAGCCTTGTTAATCTGAATCTGCAAGAACAATGAGAAGTCCTGTGGCACCTTATAGACTAAGGGTATGTCTACACTACCCCCCTAGTTCAAACTAGGGGGGTAATGTAGGCATACCAAACTTGCTAATGAAGCCCGGGATTTGAATTTCCCGGGCTTCATTAGCATAAAGCCGGCGCTGCCATTTTTAAAAGCCGGCTAGTGCGAACCCCGTGCCGCGCGGCTAGGAAGCCTAATCCGAACTATCTAGTCCGTGCCGCGTGTAGCCGAGCTTTCATGGGCATGTAGTGGAAATTCCAGAGGCAGGTATAAATATACAGGCATAAGAAAAGAGTTCCAATCCAGAGTAAGGCTAGAGATAACCAGGTCAATTCAGTCAGGATATGGCCCACTTCTAGCAGCTGATGTGGAGATATGAACACCAAGAGAGGAGAAACTGTTTTTGTAGTTGGCCAGCCATTCACAGTCTTTGTTTAATCCTAAATTGATAGTATCAAATTTGCAGATGAATTGTAGCTCTGCAGTTTCTCTTTGAAGTCTGTTCTTGAAGTTTTTTTATTGCAGGATGGCTACTGTTAAATCTGCTACTGTGTGTCCAGGGAGATTGAAGTGTTCTTCTACAGGTTTTTGTGTATTGCCGTTCCTGATATCTGATTTGTGTCTATTTATTCTTGGAGAGAAAACACCCTCATGTCCTTCCAGGAAAGAATCCCACGCCCCCCTTGGTTATGGTCTTAGATCTCCCTGTTCCTCAGGCTGTAGATCAATGGATTCACCATTGTTCTTCCCCCTCCCCTCTGTTCTTCTCCCTCTCCCCTGTGATCTTCTCCCACCCCCTCTGTTGACAGGCCTGGGTATGAGGTAGGATGTGGGTATACGTTAAAGCTGTAAAGCAGGAAGGCTACTGGCCCAGCCCTCTAAGGCTATGTCTACACTGTCAGGTTTTGGCAGAAGAGGAAATGCAAATGAAGCGCTCATTTGCAAATCTCACACTCTCATTTGCATATTCTCTTCTGATCCTTTTTGCGGAAGAGGTTTTTGTGCATTGACACCTTCAGCTGCCAACAGGAACTGGACTTGGTCCCAGGCTAGGGATCAGACCGCATCTAAATTCCCAAAAGGCTCTGACATGTGTGTGGGTGCCCATGTGGATGTGGAAGTACAAGTGCTGGAACCCCTTCTGGGGTCCACCTGCTGCTTGGAAGAAAAGAGAGGAGGTACTATCATAGGTAGGCTGGGAATGGAGACTCAGGGATGGGGGGCAGAGGGAAGTGATGTCTCTTTCACCAGTCTGGGGATGGGAAAGAAAAGAGTCTGGGTTCTGCATACAATCCAATCTAATCTGACATATCTATCCCCATACAGTCCATCTATCTATCGATCTATGATGAAATACACTCCTGACCCCCTTAATTCACACCCTATGCTCTCCTGTAACATTCACACCCTGCACACTACTGTAACTCTCTTTATTCAAGGTAAGCCTTGTAATTTGAAACTCATGTGATCTTCTGCTCAATTCTGGCCTGATAAAATATGTGCGGCAACATCGTACATGAAGTGATAAGAGTTTCCTGTCTGGTATTATCAGCACATGTTCCCAACTCCACAGCCCTGCCCAAGAAGCAGTCAGCAAACAGATCTGTCCTAAATATAGGAATGTGTGTTTGCCTGAATTTGCATTTAAGCAGTAAACAGGGTCATCAAATAGGAAGAGAAAGCAAAGGAAGGTTCAAGAGGTGAAAGATCCAGCAGGGAACTTCCTTCCTAGCTGATTCTTTGGCTCCTGGTTCTCAGCTGGAAATGTTTTTCAATAAGGCGACAGGAACTATAAAAAAGTGAAACAAACACTTCAAGACACACTTCTCTCTCACCCAGCCCATCTCATTCTCTGCACCCAAGAAGACAAAAGGAAACAACCATCAGATTCCGGAGCAGGGGTTCAGACCTGAGAGGCTGGTGAGCAATCTGCGGGAGCATGTGGCGAGAAAGTTTTCTTTTGCAACAGAGAGAGTTTCTGAAGTAGATACTAGTAAGTGGTCTATCTTTCTTTTTCTGTGACTGAGTCTGAATTTTATGCCTTGTTACTTGTACTCACTTAAATCCTACTTGAACTCACTTAAAAGCTGTCTCTTTAACCTTAACCATCTTGTTTTACTATTGTATCTGCTCCAGTGCTGAAAGCTTGGTCATCGGAACCCTTGTGAGATGTTATGGATGGAACACAGAGGAGGAGTTATGTAAATTGATGCAAAATTATGGTCTCTAGGTCAATGATTAAAGGCAGGTCACTCAGGCTACATCTACACTGCAGGGTTTTTGCGCAAAAACATCTGTTTCTGTGCAAACACTCACAGTAAATCAAAAGAACAGAGGGTTTTTTTGCAGAGTAGGTATTCCTCTTTCTTCAAGAAATAACTCCTTTTTGCACCAGAGTTCTAGCACAAAAAGGTGTGTGTGGATGGGCAACAGGGGTTTTTGTGCAAAAAGTGCCAATCGGCAAAAGCATAGATGCTCTGGTGGCTATTCTGTGAATAGTGATCAGAGCTTTCTTTCAAGAGAGCATCCGTGCAGTCTGGATGCTCTCTTGCACAAAAGCACATCACTTTTGTACTGTGGACGCGCTCTTGCGCAAGAAGCCTGTAGCGTAGACATAGCCTCAAAGGACACATGTCTTAAGACTGTTGATTTAAGATAGAAGGTTCAGGAATGTGGCCAGTCCCAGAGGGGTGCAGAAATAGACACGCTTTCACTGGATATCGTTTAAACTTTTATTGTAAGGCTTCCGCATGTAACTTATTATTTTATCAATTTCTTACATACGTGGGCACCAAATAAGTACTAACATGAACAATAAGAAAAATGCAATACAGTAAAGAAAATTCCCTGAGGTTTTTCTAAATCCCAAGTTGTCAACAACGGACCAGGGATTATTAACAGTTACATTTACATCAGTTTTACTTATAAGACTAATCATTTATCTAAAACTATTAACACTACTACTTAACAATACCTCTAAATTATTTCAGATAACAATACTTACATTTAACAGACACACAGACTACAAGAGCAACAACAACATATTCGGTATACGTTACGCTCTGGGAAATGCGTTTGATTCAGTGAGCAGGAAGGGGTCCTCAGGTGATCAGTCCTCGGACCTGGCTCGGATTCTACCTTCCAATTCTTTGTTTGGGAAGCTTCAGTTCTTGTGCGGGTGGGGAAGCCAATTTATAGACGAAGCTTTTGCGCGTTTTTTCTGTGATAGGTGGGCAGACCCCATCTGTGGTGACAGGGTTATGGGGGAAGGAAAAGGGGTGAGATGGTTTCCTGTTTTCTTGTTCTGCCTTATCAGACATGGCCCATCCAGGGCAAAAGTTACATGTCTGGTTTTGGTTCTTGTTTTCTAAATAACGCAGCATGGGGGGTTTTCATCGGGGGGAGGGTGACCTTTAGCTAGGAGGCTATGTGCACAAGGCCTGGCCAGCAAAGAGCCTTCTTTTACAAAGACAAAATTCTCCAGACAGGGGTGGGAGACTCATATCGTAGAGCCATAGGGTTGGAAGAGACCTGAGGAAGTCATTGAGTCCAGCCCCCTGCCCAAAGCAGGACCAACCCCAACTCAATCAACGCAGCCAGGGATTTGCCTTAAAAACCTCTAGGGATGGAGAGTCCACCACCTCCCTAGAGAACCCATTCCAGTGTTTCATCACCCTCTGGTGAAATAGTTTACTTATCTCACTGATGGACCATTGTGTGTCAAATGCTAATGAGGAACTTCAAAAGGAAAAGAACAGCTAGATGGGAAGTCCATTTTCGGGTAAACATCACCATTTGAGAGGGGCAGAAAGACACTCTGTCTTTCTTCTGTTGGTGAAGACAAACTGCCAGCAGACTGGATCTTGTGAAAATGAGATCGCAGGCTGGTTGGTTGGAAATACTGGGGAAAAGATGAAGCTTAAGTTATGGGAGACTGGGGACCGTCTAGTGAGCTCAGGTGAGTCTTGAGAAAGCATGTTAGGGTTTGGTTTCATCTATACCCGTGTGTTAACAAAATGCTAATTGCTAACACTTGAACCTCTGTGCTTGGATAAAACGCTTACTCTTCCTGTCACGCTGCCTCAGCGCTGCAGGTTCAGGAGAGAAGGGTTGGGGAGTCGAATCTGACAAGCAAGTATGTCCTAATCCTTGAGAGCTAAGCATTCTGGGAGTCTTCCGTGGAACAGGGGCTGAGCAGAGGGACACCCAGGGGACAGGGTCTGTCTATCGCCCACCAGCACAGAGATAGCAACGCCTGTGGAAGTCTGGAAGGTAGCATCAGGTACCACAGGCTGGTGCAGTTGGGAAGCTAGAGCTGGGTTACAGCCAGCACAGACCAAACTTCCTTGTGCTCGACAGTGGAATGGGATGGGGAGGGCAAGGCCCTGCCACTCTTTACCAGTCATAGGGATGTGTGGCAGGGAGGAGTGGGCAGAGCCACAGGAGAAGAGGTAGAGGGGAGTAGGCGGGGCCTCAGGGGAACAGGCAGAGAGGAGTGGGTGGGGCTGAGGGGAACAGGCAGAGAGGAGTGGGTGGGGCTTAGGCAAAGAGGCAGAGAGGAGTGGGTGGGGCTTAGGCAAAGAGGCAGAGAGGAGTGGGTGGGGCTTAGGCAAAGAGGCAGAGAGGAGTGGGTGGGGCTTGGGGGAACAGGTGGCATGAGGGTCAGGGCTAAGGGATAAGGGGAGTTGTGAGAGCTGAGGTTTGGGGAACAGGGGTGGCGCAGAGGGGGGCTTCAGGGATGCAGCTCAGGGGGTGGGCCACAGTTCACCACTACCCCCTTTTAGTGCAGTTCTGCCTCCCCGGGTGGTAGCAAGGTGCCAAGCAACCCTGAGTACCCCTGGAAGCATTATTAGTTAGGGTCTGCATTAAGGTGGTGGAGGTTTAGCTTGACCATTAGGAAACGCTTACCTGTCAGGGTGGTTAAACACTGGAATAAATTGTCTAGGGAGGCTGTGGAATCTCCATCCCTGGAGATATTTCAGAGCAGGTTGGACTGACACCTGTCAGGGATGATCTGGACCGTGCTTGGTCCTGCCTTGAGGACAGGGTGCTGGACTGATGACCTCTCCAGGGCCCTTCCCCTTCTAGTGTTCTAGGAGTCTATAATTTCCTGATTCTGACCAGATCCTCTGTCTAGAAGATGGGTTTGCATTAAGAAGGACACGCTGCCTACTGAGACGTCGGGTTTCGATCTTTAGGGATAGGGAGACGACACACCAGAGAAGGGATTCTTGGGGCGAGGCCAATTCACATGCTGGTTACCGCCGATATTATGTGATAGCCTGAATTCACAGGAAGCCATTAGAGTTCTAAGTGGTCCATTTGGTGGTATCCATCCCTGGAGATTTAAGCTGTAATGAGGCATTTCCTGCATGTTTCGATCAAAAGCCTTCACGGAAGAGGAGCAGCGGGGCGGCGGCTGCGGGTTGTTCTCCAGGATTCAGCACTCACCCGTGACCCGCCCTGCCCGGCGTGGAAGGCTGTTTCCCTGCAGGAACTTGGCACAGATCAGAGTCCGCGGAGAGACTTTTAGGGCCATGTGTACACTCGTGCCTCGGGCGATTACTCAGGAACCGTGTGCGGGAGACTGTGCAGAAGATCCGAGGGACTGAGCGGCGGAGATTGCGGAGCAGCCCGGCTCCCAACAGCTGCAGGCTCAGTCCAGGCACCGAGAGGGGTAAGGGAAGGCGGGTGACGCTTTGCTGAGAGAGTCTCGGCGCGGAGGGGGATCGTGCTCCCTCCCGCTCCTGAGCTGTGCCCTAGACAGGAGGGGCGCTGCTCCGACAAGGCTGGGAGGTGGGGCCGCTCCCAGCTGAGCTCCAGGCAGCCAGGCAGGCTGGCTAGCGGCCGGGCCGGGAGAGGGGTGCGTGGGAGCGGGGCGCTCTCCCCTCGCGCCCCCCCAGCCGGGAAAGGGGGGAAGAGCA